TAATGCAGAAATGGAGTAAGCTAAGGATGAAAGCATGCAACCACACATCACTTCATTGATAGTACTAAGTGTTTCCTTATCAAACAATGTGGCTAGGCTGCATAGGACACAGATGGCCCTATGTTGTCAAACTAATCCCCTGAAATACCCACAAGGGCTCTTTTCCTCATCCATAAAGGAAACCTGATAGACGCTTATTCCACACTGCCCTATCGTACTAGTAACTAATGAGTGATACCCGATGATAACAGAAAAGGGAGTACTTCCTTGTAACATAATGTGGATAAGTATGGAAGCCGAGAAGGACCATTCCATATTTCCGTTCTACGCGAATTTCTATTCTTCCATCCTGCCATTCTTCCATTCTTCCATCCTGCCATTCTTCCATTCTTTTATCCTTCCATCCTTCCTTACTGCACAGAGATTGAATGCGCATGTGCAGATGCAACGATTGCACATGCGCCTATGAGGGGAGATCAGTGTCATAATTCTGGGCCATTTTTCAAGCTGCTATTTTCTGCTATTTTCATGAGTGCACCTTATTTTTTTGCAGCAAACGCTGCTTTCGTTCGCCCATTTTGCACCGTCGCTATCCTTTATACTGCTATTTTTCTGATGTCGCTATTTTATGGTGCTATTTTTCTAATATTGCTATTTTTATGGTGTGATGTTGCTACTTTTATGTCGCTATTGTATAGCTACTCACTCAGCCGCGAGCGGCCACCACACCCCCTAGCCCTAACTCCACCTCTTCCTTGATGATGGACTCATTCCGGTTTTATGCTTTACTTAGTGATATAAATAGTGACAGAAAAGTAGCGACATAAAAATAGCAACATCAGAAAAATAGCACCATAAAAGTAGCAACAGTGTAAAAATAGCCTAACGAAAATAGTGCCTGCTGCAAAAAATGAGCCCTCATAAAAAAAAAATAACAGCTTTGAAAAATTGCCCAAAATTATGACACCCATCTCCCTTCACATGTGCCCACCTGGTGTGTTTGCAATTGCAACTGTCATGTCAGGACCCCTCTCCCATGAAGACCTTATAACATTTACGAAGGATACCAATATCGGGCCATAGTTTAGTTTGTTCATTGTATGATAACCTAGTGGTCCGAATGGCGCGATTTTATGCGGTTCAACTGCGCCTGCATTTTGAGTACGCGCTATACATGATGCCACATCATTTATTCAATCCTCGATGCGTGATCTAGCCAGCGAGAGAGCTCTCCTCCATTCAACGGCATTCTGGTGCCTATCTGAAACTGTATATACCTCTTTCCAATCTTTGTGGTTTCAAGGTGCAAGTTGTGAATAGGCTAGGATGGCTCGTGCAGATAGCTAAAGCCATTGTGTGCTCACTCCCGCTAGCCAAAAATGCCCTGCATCGGCCTACTATCTAGTAATAATTGAAACATCCGACAGTTGCCAATGCATAAAAAGTTCAATGTTCATGTTCAATGGGCCCGCCCGGGCATGACATGTATACGGACAGAGTCAGGGAAAATGACAATAGTTATAAGAAGCATACAGGGTTGCCAACCCCATGCAATTAATGCGCCAGCAACAGTCGTATAGCAGATGTAGACATGCTCTCCCCCGGCACCGTGGTTGAGGTCTACGGGGATCATTTCGTAGCCTTCTGGCTGAAGCTGAGCTATCTCCCTGTCCTTGGCCTACACCAACTCAGTCTCCTACAGTCAGGATGGCATCAAACACAGTTTACAAGTTTTTTTGCCTGAGGCTATTTGTTGTTGTTTACAAACTTGTAATGTTTACACCTTGTTACTATTGATGGGTTGTATGTGTACGGAGTTTTATCACTCTGGGTATTAGCTCCTAGTTAGCACACTTTACTTGTCTCTATCATAATGTATATTATTTGTTGTTTTTTGTTGTTTACATGTAAACAAAATTGTTTACTAAGAAAAAAATGCTCTTGCATGACCTGTCATGGATTCCAATATCTGTGCAAAGTTTCATCTCCATATCTTACCCGGTTTTTGACGCTTGTCTAAACTGAACAAGAAGAATTTTGAAAACTTACTTTCTTGAATAAATCAATTACCGATAATTTGCGATTTAAGCCATTTCTTGGATGCATGCTCTTTGTGACAATACGGATCAGTCTGATGTGTCAGAAGTGGGATCTGATTGAAACTGAAAGTGAAATGTACAAATCTCAAATGTATGGGCATAAAGCAGGACAACTTTCATTATAGACAAACACTTGACTAACTCAACGTCCAATATCCAGAATTTTTTGGCGTTTTTCTCTGATAGTTTCCATGGCCTTTTCATTTCTCTGTTTCAGTAGTTCCAGTTGTTTTTTTCTGCAAGTACATACATAGGTGAGTTTATAGTGTAAACTGAGGGCAGAGGGCAAACTACTGTGCTACTGACTATAATTGGTCCCCATACACCACTAGACTAACTCTCTGTCTCATCTCCTGAATCTGCTGCTGCTCTCTCCTGATACTCTCCTCTGCCCTCGTAACCTCTGCCTCCTTTCTCGCCACCTCTGCCTCCTTTCTCGTCACCTCTGCCTCCTTTCTCGCCACCTCTGCTTTATTTCTTATCAACTCTGCTTCCTTTCCTGTCACCTCTGCCTCCTGCAGAAACATCAGAGAGAGTGGCAGTCATCCAAATCATGGCTGAATGCTCACTTTTCTTGTTAGCTCTTGTCCGAGTGTCTGCATCTCCCTCTCAGTTGCTTGCAAATGTTCTTCCTGTGATCACAAAACAACACAACACTTGACTGTGCCACTAAATCATCTTTAAGACTCACATTACGTCTTAATTGCTGCTGTGCTGCAGCTAGCTCTGTGTCTTTGGCCTGCACACGGGACTGGAGATGAGCATTCTCTGTCACCACGTCTCGGAGAACACGCTCCAAATTCTGGTAGCATCACAGGAGATTTTGTCAACACATGAACTCATACCAAATGAGTGTACAGTCCCTCACCTGGTTCCTGGGCTGGATCTGAAGAGCTCGTACCAGCTCACGTTTGTTCCTCTCACTCCCTTCATCTCTAACACCAGCTCTGGCCTCCTCCAATAGATGCAACACCTCACGAATACCTGGCCTTTTGGATGGAAAATTTTGCAGGCATTGTTGAATCAGCCGAATGAGAGGGTGGTCCCCACGGAGCTAGCCACAGGCACGGAGTTGCTCGTTTACGTGTCGCATGTAATGGCCACACGCTACGTTGTGCAGTACGGAGCACTTGAGAGCCATGGAGAAGAAAGATAGCAGTGTGACGGCGCCGGGCGGAGGGGGCGGGTCCGGAGCCAGCAAGTCGTGAAGACTCGTCAGCAGTCGCTCCATGACGAGGGCTGGCAGTCGCGAGCCGGGGAAGAAAGCGACACCCAGAAACTGTACGATGTTCGGGTGGCGCAGAGTGCTCATAAGCTGACATTCCCTCACGAACTGAGTCGCGGCCTTAGGCAGTCCGGCGGTCGTTGCATCCCCTTCTCGCAAGAAGGCGTAGATTGTTTTGGCGGCGGCGCCCACAGAAACCACCACCTCCTCCACTTTGCCGTAGGCTCCGCCGCCGAGTTCGGTGCCAGTGAGCTGGACGTCGGACAGAACGAAGGGCCTCAGCCCTGGATGATCGCGGAGAAACTCTTCAGCCATTATTTCCGTCCCTTAGTGCGCATGCGTGCCCCAGCCTACGGCGTGTAGCCGCTTGATGGCTACGCAATGGAGTTGATCAGCGCGCCTCTGCCATTGTTCGTTGAGTCGTTGCATGTCAAAAATATGTGGGCATCTTCCGGACATTGCCCAGTGAGCTAATGTAGCCAGAGCGTGCAGAAAAAGCGACTGTACAAAAAGCAAAAGACTTTTCTGTACAAAAAAGTGCAAACCCTCGGCGCACCACTACGCGCTATCGTTAATTGATGGGCTTGGGCTATATAGGCTATGCAGTTACTCGTGGTCTCCCGCTAGTAGCTCGCAGAGAATCTGGCTTCACTAGTAGATTGCATGCGGAAGTCGACACCCGCCCTCTGTTGTAACTTCTTGTGTCTCCAAGGTAGGCCGCTCAGTTCCAGCGCGATTATGCATATTGCCTTTTTCGCTTGTTTTCATGGCATATCTCTCGAACGCAGCCGTTTCAGGAATATTTTTCAAGTTCGCGTAGTTCTGAATTGCCCACCTCGTAGCCTGTAGTGCCAGAATAAGCGTCGACACAGACACACAGACAGAGTAACCCTCGCTGCGCATGCGCGCAGAGGGGTAATAAGGTCATATTGATGAGAGTGGGCGGTTAGAAACTCAAACTTGTGCCCACTGTGGTCGAGGAAGAGAGTGCAGTCGCGACATATGAGGCGATTGCAGTCGAAGCAGAGAAGCTTGAGAGTTTTTTGTCGTGCTCCTCACTTTTCCTGGCGGAGGATCACTGACACGAATGTTCTGGATTCAGCCCTTTTCCTTGTCTTCGACGCTAAGTACATACAACGTGGCTTGCGAAAGCTTTTGACTTTTCGTGCGCGGCTATGTATATACGCAAACATCAAATAAAATCCGCGCAGTGACAGCAAAATGCCACCGACTTGGCCGCCCCACACTGCTCGCAAACCGCCTCATCCTTTCCCTATGCCTTTGTCATCTTGTCTTTTATTCTCTCAACGAAAAGAACGGGTTGAAGCCGCGTCACGCCGCTAGGAGGGAGATTCGTCTTTTTTCAGACACTCGAACGGCTTCCCTTGCCTTCAGAGCGAGCGACCATCCATGTCGACGTGCAGTAGTATAAAATGATGACAAGGAATTCGAAGTAGCTAACTTTGCCTGCTTGTAGATACCCTTGCATGCAGTGCAAGTATTATCCTTTTGCAGATCTTTCTGAGGTTTTCTCGAAGTTCTTGGATTTGCCCTTCTGCCATGCCTCGGCTAATTTTCCTGCTCCCAGAGCTCCCCTGGTCGGCGGGCTATGGCATCATAAGCACGCATGCGCAGCGAATGAAGAGTAAATGCGCGCACGTTGTTAGCGCTTTGCTAACCACCGCCACACACAACAAAAAGCCTTTGTCGTCGTGTTCAGTGACGAGCAGAATATTGCTGATAGAGCTACAGATTCGAAGAAGTTGAGTAGCTATGGCATCCTGGTTGTTCGCCTGTCTCCTGACACTGGTTACTGTGGTGGTTCTCCCTGTCCCGGGAGTCAGGGCCGAAGTGTTCACGGCCCTGGTCCACATGGAGGGACTCGTCTCTCTGGAGAAGGAGCTACTGGGCGGACTGGAGTCCTACCTGGAGCTGGAGAGACAGAGGTGAGCACTTCTTCCCGGAACGGCCCTGGTGTGTCCGAAAGCAGCTTCCGTGTCAGATATAGGCGTTCAGTGTTGGCAATCTCCCCCGCTCTGCATTATACCATTTGCACTGTCTAAGTTTTTATTACTCTCATTTCTGTAACCGTTTTGTTCCAGGTTGGTACGTATGGAGCAGTTTGCAGGTCGAGTGAGGTTGGCTCTCACGTCAGCCAGCCAGGACCCCAGCACCCATCTCTCTGACCCTGTCAATGCCTACCAACTGGTCAACAGGTTCATCAATGGCTGGAACACTCTCTACGATGACATATATGAGGACAATGGACAAGGTGTGCACATTTTTGCCTGCGCACCTGTAACATTGATCTCTGATGTGATCCTAACATAATTGGCAAGCGAGAGTGAGCTAACCTAGTGGCCTGGTCTGAACCGCGTAATTTTACATTGTATAATATAGATACGTAGTGCTAATGTGCATTGATTAAAACTGCCTAAGCCTACAGCTCCATCATCGATGCGCGATGTAGCCAGCAAGAGAATTCTCGTCAGTTAATTAGATGGCGTCCTCTGCACTCTTCGGTGCCTGGCCAAGGCTGCACCTCTTTCTCATCTTCGTGGTTCCAAGGTGAAAGTTGTATATAAATAGGCTAGGATGGCTCGTGCAGATACAGTCATTAAGTAAGCACTGGTGTCAACTCTTACGTTTTGCTTGCAGCAAGCAATTCTGCTCTCTAACATAAGCAAGTCAGTCCTGTACATGCCCACCACTATGGTGGCCATTTCTCTCTCTTTCTCACACACACCCTGTGTGTGTGTGTGTGTGTGCTCTGTGGTTTTCTTCTTACTGTGGCTACCCTATACAAGCAATTGTTTTTCCTTTATCAACTACCTCCAGCTAGACTCTGCCTTCCAACTTTCTTTGTTGGGCATGATAGATTACTGTGGCTGCCTATAAAAGCTTCTTTTGTTCTTTTATGTCAACAGCAGCAGGTTGCTCTGCACTCCCTGGCTGGGTATGTTTCAAGTAGGACAGTGCAGAAGTCAGTCAGGTCCTCAGGCATGAGGGGTATCTTTTTTAGTGTGTGTGTGTGGTGTGGGGTCTTATACGCAGAACGTTGTCCAGCAAGCTGAAGCCCTGATTCAATGTCCTCTCCCTCTCTCCCTCCCTCCCTCTCTCTGTTCCTCCCTCCCTCCTTGCTGCAGGTCTGATGGCCAACATCTCCTACTACAACTTCCGGTTCCCTGACACAGAGGACTTCACAGGAGCAGTGACGGCCATCCTGAGACTCCAGGACACCTACCGACTCTCTCCCTCCCTCATCACCAGTGGCAAACTCGGCACCACCACCACCTTACCCATGACATGTGAGGATGACATTCAGTTGCATCTTCGGGTTGCATACTTTTGTATGTATGATGTCATTATAAGAGCAGTAAGTAACCCATTTCACTAGTGTATTCACATCAACATGTGCGTCATTGTATTCTGCAGCTGAGGACAGCTACGAGATGGGCCGCATTGCCTATGGCGCTGAGGACTACCAGCACACCAGAGACTGGATGAAGGAAACCTTAAGGTCTCCTCCTCTCTTCCTTACTTATACTTTCATTACTGTATGTACTTTTGTTGCAAAGAGGCTCAGCTGGCATACACAACTGATTCACATAATGTCGCTTGCACTATCTTAAATGCATATGTGCACAGTGCTGCTACACCTGTTACACACTCTCTGACAGGAGCCAGCTACAAATTTCCACTGCATATGCATAGTTCTGAGCTATGGTACACGTGTTGCTACACCTGTTCCACGTGGCGTTATTGCGTTGAAAACACTGAAGGCCAGTTCGAGAACACAAGAGTTGCCTTGGACAGCTTTACTCTCATGGCTCACTGGGACACTGACTTTTGTAAGGTAGTAAGTGTATGTGCTTGCAGGCACTGAAATACGGCGAGTTAGAACAAATATTTTATTGAACCATGGTCCAACTTCCAATTTGGGAGCGTGTTTCTTTCATGTGGGTCGCCCCTGTCAGAATGGCTATATTTATTGTAGTGACTCTCTTTGTGACCTCACACACACCAGTGTTCAAGGGTATCCTCGTAGTGTTCTGATATTTGAAGACAGGTCGTGGGTGTTTGCTAATGCTTCATGCCCCACGTGGAGGCTCTGGCACAATCTCTGAGAAACGGGTCATTTTAACACAGGATGAAGGGCACACCCCACTAAAGCCTTTTACCTCCTTCCCACCAAGGCTCTTTCACCCCTCCCCCCACAACTCCTCTACTCATCTTCTCATCCCTCCTAACCCCCACTCTCAACTCGCTTTCCCTCCTCTCTCTTTGCCGTCTCCTATCCCATCTCTTCATATCTCTTTCATCCCTCTCCCTCTCTACAATATTCCAGGCTGTTTGATGAGGAGGGTGACTCATCGACTGTAGACCTCAGTGGCGTGTATGACCACCTGTCGTTTGCAGAGTACAAGTTGGGGAACCTCAAGAGAGCAGCTCACTACACCAGACTACTGCTGCAGAATGGTTAGCTTTGCTTACCATCAAGTTCACTAACTGTAGCTTTACTTTAATCTGAGCCTCATCTCAAATCTCAAACAAAATACAGTTTGAGTTGCCTGTATGTATGATACGGTATTGTCCACTTTATGAAGTTACATGTCGGGTGGGTTTCTAAGACTTTCTGTACTTGTTTTCCCAGGGGTAGCTGTGTGATTGTCCTGTAGTACACTAATGACTGAATTAGGATGCACGCACTGTCTCTCATACTTTGTGAAGTTACATGTCGGGTGGGTTTCTAAGACTTTCTGTACTCTGTTTTCCCAGCGGTAGCCTGTTGCTGATAGTCCTTGTAGTACACTACATGACTGAATTAGTAGGATGCACTGCACTGGTCTCTCAATACCCTCTGTAGCATGCACTGTATTTCCATTATTGTTCTCTTCTCCCAGACCCCACCCACACTCGTGCCCAGGGGAACATTGCCTACTTTGAGCGGCTCATCCGCTCCGAGCCCGAGAAGTACGTTAACGAGGTTGACGAGAGGGGCGAGGAGGAAGGCGAGGTGTCACCAGATGCTAGGGAAAGCATGTCGGAGAAGGAGAGATACGAGAGTCTGTGTCGGGAGCCTTGGCCACTGGTGAGTACAGTTGAACCTCAGAACACTGGACAATGGAGCCAACACTGTCCATTTCAGAGGTTGTCTGTCCCTTCTTTGGAGGTTCTTGCTCATCTTAACCAGAAAAGTTGTTTAAAAAGCTAGTTGTACAGACTGCTCGTATGTATATTATGTAATTCTGGAGCCGTTGGTAGACCTGGGCTTAAGGAATGGCTGTGCACATATGGTGGCTGTACAACCAATTGTATTGGGCTTGGGTGTTAACTGTGGGTGTATTGACATGTTTGTACTGCCAAACATTCGATTCATACACACATGTTTTTGTGTGCTACTAGTCTGCCAAGTGAGGTAAAATGTGGGTGCAAGACATTTTGTGCCTAGACATCACTGTCTGTGTTTAATCATGGGTTTGTGGCACTGAGCCCCCAAGCACCTTTTGCTAACAGAATTGTGATAATGGGATCCATTCAGCACAACTACATACTCTTGGGTTTTTGCTTGTTGTAGTAATTTTGGCAGACAATTTGTATGGTGTCTGGCAGTAACTTGAGTACTACACAACCCTGTGTGTAGGCTAAATGTATTGCGTTATAGTAAACATGTGCATGTCTCGACAACTTGGTAACGAGATAGAAAGGCAAGGCAAAGCAAACAAGTCAACTGCACCCAGAACAGCTCTTTCTTTTCGAAAGAAGAAGAGCTGCCCTGGGTGAGATTCGAACTCACGACACTCTGCAGTCTCGGCGAGCACTCTACCAACTGAGCTACCAGGGCAACTCAGCTGGTAGGAGTTCGAATCTACAACACAACGCAAGGCAAACCTCAATCCACTGTGCTATGGCACAGTATACTCTCACTCAGAATGTAGGAGCAGACCGGGGTAATTAGACCCCATGACATAGATTCCTACAGGGAGACATCTTCATGTCTGTTACTCTGTCTCTCTCACCTCAGCCAAAGGAGTATGACTCGGAGCTGACCTGTTTCTACTATGACAACCACAGGACCCCAAGTCTGGTCATCAGACCTATGAAAGTGGAGGTTGTCTTCCCACAAACCTCGTATATTCATACTGCGGTCAGTCTCTCTCTCTCTCCCTCTCTGTTGCTGCGGCTTTCTATATTTTCATCTCTCACTTTTGTGTTGTGTCATTGGCGGGCGGAAGCGAGCCAACCTAGTTTTTGCAATGGGAAATATTTTTTCCTAGTGGAGATGGGCACTGACTGTTACATTGGTCCAACTGCACGTGCATTTGGATTACGCACTGCTTTTTATTCAAAAGAAATACGCTGGCTCCTCTGTGAGAGAACTTGTTCATTTAGTGGCATTAGCTGCACTCTTCATGCCTGGCCTAGCTATAATTATCTCTTCAATCTTTGCAGTTTCAAGATACAGGTTCTGAGTAGGCTAGAATGGCTAGGCTATTACCTGCAAAAACAGTCCGCTCGCCCGCCCTGCATTCACCTATTAGTAACATTTCGGTCACACAGACTGGGGGACCTGTCTGAACAATGTTACATAGGTATATACCCACTGGTCTATCTACACATGCCCACAAGGATGCACCGCACTCATACACAAAACGACATGTATACACAATAAATACCTTACTACATCAGGGAACACACTACATCTGTTGCCAATTTCCCCAACTTCAGTACAGGCAATTCAGTTGATGCCAGATATACATGGTGGGTTGTGATGTGTGTTTCGACGTTAGGCACGAGTAGATCCAGCCTCATACGGGGCTTGTCTGTTTCAGAGTAGGCAGAGGTATATAAATTATATACCTCTGTGGAGTTGTTCGGTATGTAGGTGGTACCCCACTTTGTGATGTAATGCTCATACTCTTCTTGAGAATAGTGTATTCTTGTGGCCTTTTTTCTTTCTTTTGCCGCTTGCTTGACCCTAGACCAGAGGCAAACCCTGCAAAACACCGTGCTCCAGTTGGTCAATGAACTCGAGGACGTATCCATTGAGCTTGCCGGCATGATCATGTTCCTCGACACTGCATATTTGTCCCCCCAATTTCAGGAACATGGGTGCCTTGGTGTGTCATTGACCAGAAGAACATCAAGGGCTTTTGGAGCCCGTGTGTTTTGCTCTTTTGTAGTTGGTTGGGATGCTTGCTGATCGTGTAGGTTTAGCCGGCTTGTTGCAGGTGCCCACAGCAATTGAGGTATGGATGACAAAGGGACACACTCAACCACAAACCACGTGTCTATATATACTGTAACAGTCCCTCCGCTTGCACTCCTGCTTTCTAATGAATAGATGTCATAGCTACGTAGTACTGTCTTCTCTTGCTCCTCTCTCTCATAGTCATGCATGCATTACGATGATTTACTGTGTTGTCTACTGCTGTTTTCTCCACATTCAGTGGGATATTGACAGAGCCAGAGATGAAACAACTGAAGGAGTTGGCTGGACCAATAGTGAGACTCTGTGTATCCTGTATTGTGTACATTTCATCCACAGTTTGAATGTGGAAGATGTTTTCTCTAAATATGCAAATCACATTGCAATTGGAATGGCTCAGCACAAAAGCAACCACAGCCGTATGCAAGTATAAGTATGCATAAGTACTACAGCAGCATTCACTACTTGCAAAAGGATGTGTTTCCTAGAACAGGGCTTCTTTCGCGGGAAGGGGTTAGGCTCTCTTTGTCTCCACTGAAAATCCTAAGTGTATATGATGCGATGCCGTAAGCCCCAGTGGATATTTTGACTTAGCGATTTTGCTCCCACTTGTGAAAACCACTTGCTGAGGCTTTGACTTAGTAGAGCTGCTGGGTAGTTTGCGGTAACTTGATTTGCATGTATAGTCAAGAAGAGTGTTACTTTACTGCACTTATTATATTAACCCCCAAAGTTGTCATACACATTACATTTATGTACTTATAGTGATTGCATCTCTTGCTTCTTCTCTTTTTAGCTAAGGAGAGCTACTGCTAGAAATCACGCCAGCGGCAAGTTTGAGCCTGCAAACTATAGGATTAGCAAGAGGTCAGTCAGTCAAAGCAGTTGCTTGGTTGGATAGAAAAGTATTCAGTGACTGAGCCATTGCAATATGCTTATACACAAAACGCATCAGCTCTGTACTGTAAAAGGCTTTTTAAGCTCCAAACTTTATACAGTTGCGCACGATGTAATCTGTATGTTTTGGTTTGTAGTTGAACCGTGCCACTGTACATGATCGAGAGGGTAACCTAATTCATGCCACTTACCGGATCAGTAAGAGGTACACATCTTTACCATCTAGCGAGAGGTGTAGTTTGGCATGTTGTTATGGCTCAGTCACTCTAGTATTATAGATACACAGAATGATTATGTGTCCTTTTTTGTCTACCTTTTCGCATTATACTGTGATTAGATCCTTTTCCCTCCTCACTCAAAAATATGGTAGATGCCCTTTCCCTCCTTACTCACC